GAGCTCCCAGCAGGCATTGCCGATCTGGACACCAGCCTGGCCGACGTGGATAGAGATGCACTCACGCTGCGGAGAAGATGGCGGGAGGTGGGAAGAGAAGATGGAAACACATTGGGTTGGTCTGCAATTGCATGTTAATAAGTGGCTTTTGATTAATCAAGGCATCTCTAGAAGCTCCCTTTGAAACCTCCATTTTTGCCTTTTTGGCTCGATGCATAAAATCAGGCACCATTAAGCTTTGTCTCTGGGTGTGTTCTGAACAGACTCCGTATTCGGCTGTATCACAGCCAGTAGCAGGTCACACAGATGCCAGCCCTTTGTGTAACCCCCCATGTTGAACGCACCAGATGCTTTCCAAATTGCGGGGAAAGGAAGCGCACAGATAATTGGCAGGAAAGGAAGCAAAAAGAAGAAAATACTCATGAACCGTGGAGAGGCAGGTGGGAACTGGAAACAACTGAGCAGTACCACAATTCTTGAAAAGTGTCTGTTTGCCACGCCCAGTTTTTCCTTATGTGGGGCCTGCTCCTGCTCCCATGGAAGTAACTGGCGAAACGCCAACTGATTTGGGTACAGGATTGGGGCGATGGGCATTACTGTGAATAAGGGCCCAATCCTACAAAACAAGGAGCAGCTCCCCATTGTTCTCATGGAGAAGCCAGCCCCCATTGAGTGCGCTGAGCCCTTCCAGGAGTCTGGTCCCCAGTGTCTCCTTCGGGGTGCTCAGTACCTGGTAAGATCAGCCTCCAAACCACCACGATTGCTTTTCTGTCCCCCCCCCACTACCAGCCTCCTCCCACACGCACAGATCGCTAACCCCCAAGAGAGCCTCCCCTAGGGAATAATGAATCCAGCTGCCACACCCAGCCAGGGAACGGTGAAAATTCGAACCCTCCCTCTGCCCTGTGCCTGCTGGAGTCTGTGCGGACAGCCGTGGCTTAACAGACGGGGCTATTTCCAGCATGATCTCATTAGACTGGTTTGCCAATTTCCCTCCGCTGACCTCAGCGGAGAACATGCCCACATGGGAATGAAGTCAATCAATGAAGCGGGCGGGACAAAAGTCAAACCTCGATTCACAGGCCGAGTGAGCATCGGGGTGGGAGACAGGCTGGATGCAATTCCCCATTACTTACGTTCGGCCTTTCATGCCCTTTAATCGAATATTGAAAACATGGCCATTGCATTTGGAAAGCTCCCCCCTCCTTCACAAGGCATTGGGGACGCTGCCTGGGGAGCTAAAATACTGCACTACTAGAATGAACGTACAGCTACAACGAACAGGTATGTGCACAAGTGTGCACACGCGCTCACACGCATGTGCACGCGCACTCAAATCGATTGGCTCTGAAGCACATTTCTCTTCCAAGCCCCACCCTGCTGGCCCAGGAATCATCATTCGGGTCACATCGGCCTGAGCCCTCTCCCTGCTTTGTCCTCCGTCAGGCCCCCTTGGGCTACCTCTTCATGGACCCAACTCCCAATCCATGGGGCGTGGGGGGCAGGCGGGGCTTTGCCAGGGCT